GCGCTGGGGCGGGGCTGCGAGCCGAGGCCGGGACCCCGCTGAGCCCCGACTGCCGCGCCCAAGGGCTCGCGCTCCTCGCCCCCGCCAGCGTCCCGGTGCTCGCCGGCCGCCGGCTCTCCGGAGAGTCGGACAGCGAGAACCCGGTTGCGGCCCGTCTGGGCCCGGCCCTCCACCTCTCGGGACCAGCGGGACGGCCTGTCCCTCAGGGTGGGACAGGCGCGGAGAACCCCGTCCCTGGCCGCGGCTGAGCAGGGAGAGCGGGGCTTGTGTCTGGGTCCTGTGACCCTCGCTGGTTTGGAAAGGATCCCCCTCCTGCCACAGGAGGGGGTCACTGTCCACAAGCAAAGAAGGTCACCTCCAGTGGTGCCCCCCTCCCTTCTGCAAAGCAAACCCCCTGGCACAGGCCTCGGCATCTGGCTCTGGCTCTTGCCCTCCCCACCCCCTTACCTGTACCCTGGATGCCATCCTTGGGTTTCTGACTGTTCCAAGGTCCCTCACAGGAGGCCTTCCTTACCTGCCCAACCGTTCTCTTCCTAGCTACCCAGCTGGGGTCTGCAGTGACCCGTCACCTGTTCTGCAACTGTCCCCACTGTTGTCTGGGACTGTGTTCATCATCACAGCCCCTGAGACCAGAGACGCAGGCAGTGAGAACCGGGTCTGCCAGTTCCAGGGACCCAGCTCTCCCCACCTGCTTCTCCCCCAGACTCACCCCTGAGGCCCCAGTCGCTCTGCCCAGCCCATCACACGCTGCCTGCCGGGCTCAGCCGGTGGACCTCTCTCCTCCCTTCCAGCCCTGGGCCGGGCCACCTCGTGTACCCTGGGCAGGCATCTATCTGCATGCGCTTCCCAAAGCTGACCCCAGTGGCTGCCTTCCCCGGGGACCAGGCTGCAGTGCTGCCCGCACCAGCTCCCTGGGCTCCCCTCCCCTGTGCTGCCGCGTCTGCCTGAAGGAACATCACTTGGCCTCCCTCAGGATCCCAGGGGCTGGTTGGGCAGCCTCGGGTGGCCACAATCACGCAGTGCAGAGCTGCAGGTGGCAGCGGGACCCACAGCTCAGGGAGGTGCCAAGTGGCCGAGGGACAGTCAGAAGCAGAGACCGAGAGGAGAGGTGGCAGGCGAGGCAGGAAGACACCGCCTCGGAGAGGTTCTCGGGTGGCAGCCCCTCTTGGATGTCATTCCAGACTTCTTGGGGCCTTCTCTCTCCTCTCCTTGCTGGCTGGCCCCGTGCTGGGACAGGTGGCCTCTGCAGCCACCTGTGGGCCTGGGGTCTGCCGGGACTCCGGAAGCCTCTTTTCTCTGCAGGACTCACCACGTCCCTGTGTCTAGACGCTGTGAAGCCAGAACTGGGTTTGGGTGCATTGGTCTGAGAATGCAGAGCAGCGGTCCCCCCAGCCCCCTGAGCTGCTCTGATGAGTCTGGGTGTGGACAGGCATCGGGCGGCCCTGAGGAGGCCCTTGGACACCGCGGCTGTCCCACTGCACTTCTCTCGTTCACAAGTCATTATGGAACAAACGAGAATCACACCGGGAATTGTCATGGTCCCTGCGTGGTCACGACAGGGAGCAGGGACCATCAGGTGTGCCCTGGCCAAGTCCGCGTGGCCCCTTGCGTACTCCCTTTGGAGCCAGATGAGCAGGGCCCTCGGGTTCTGAGGGGCAGTGTGAAGGGCAGGTGGGGCTGTGCTTGGAATGAGGTCTGGGTGGCCCCGGAGTGGGTCTGGGTGAGAGCCAGCGTGTGGGGAGGCCGCCAGCGTTCTCAAAGGACGTGCGGGGGCACCTGGCAGGCTGGGGACAGGTGGAAGGGAAATGTCGTGCAATGGCAAACAGTCGTCCCCACATCGCTGTGTGTGTTTTAGACCTGTCTCTGCCCCTCCGGCCACAAGCTCTGGGGAGGAACGAGGATGGGGCGAGGCTGGCGAGGGATGATGAGCTTGGCTGCTCAGCAGGGCAGGTGTGGCAACCAGACGCCAGGCTTTCTTGCCGCTGGATCAGGCCGGGCAGGAAGCAGCTGGGCCTGCGTGGAGCTCTTCCTAAACCTGGGAGATCTGTGCCCGGCTCTGTCCTGAAAAAAGGGAAGGAAAGGCAGCTGTTGCCTAAGCTCGGTGTTGCGTGAGGCTTTGTGGTCAGAGCTCCGTCTGGGTTAGGAAGCCTGGATCTCGGAGCCTCCACTGTGGGGAGCCTGGCCGGGGACGAGCTCCTGCGTTGCTGGGTCCGCCGAGTTGGAGCGCTCACGGGCTTGTTTTGCGACACCTTCATCTCTGGGCCAAGCCGGGCCTGCCTCCCCCTCCCTCCTGCATAAGCCCTTGTCCACCTGGGTGTCCCCCACAGGCACTGAGTGTCCGCTGAGTGGCCCCCAGTGTGCTCCTCTGCCTGGCCCATCTGGGCAAACTACGCATGCACGTGGCTCGGGGCGGGGGCCCTCTCCCGTGCTCCAGCTCTGGCCGCACCCAGTCTAGGTGGCCCCTCCCGCCCCTGCACGGTGGCCACCTCTCTTCTGTTGACAGCCCTCGGGCCTTCTCCTTGGAGGGTCAGTCCTGGGGCGGACTTGCTGTCCTGCAGGCTCCAGCCAGGTTGTGGCCTCTGTCTGCCCCCGGGACCACGCCTGCAGAGATGCTGCTGGTCTGCGGCCCGGGCGTGCTGGCTGAGCCCCCGCTCCGTGCCTTCCCTCACGTGTGCACGTGAGTGTGCGCGCATGCACGTGTACATGTGTGCGCACGTGAGTGTGTGCACGCACGTGTACACGTGTTGCGCACGTGAGTGTGTGTGCATGCACGTGTACACGTGTGTGTGCACGTGAGTGTGCATGCAGGTGTACATGTGTGTGCATGCACGCACGTGTACATGTGTGCGTGCACGTGCGTGTGTGCATGCACGCGTACACGTGTGCGCACGCGAGTGTGTGCACGTGAGTGTGTGCACGCACGTGTACATGTGTTGCGTGCACGTGAGTGCGTGCACGTGAGTGTGCGTGCGTGCACTTGTACATGTGTGCACGTGTGCGCGCGTGTGCATGCATGCACGTGTACATGTGTGTGCACGTGTACGTGTATGCACGTGTACGTGTGTGTGCGCATGTGTGTGTACCCGCGTGTATGGTATAGTGTGTCGGTGTGCATGAATGGCTACGTGTTTGCATTTGTGTATGTTTATGGGCTGAGTGTGCTAGTGCGTGTGTGCACATGAGTGCCGTAGTGGCAGGCTCGTGCATCCACACCTGTCTGTGTGAGTGTGCACTTGCCACTTCTGCGGACACACATGGGTTGCACTCCATGCATGTGGGTTTTCCTCATGTGCAAGTATGCAAGTTCTGGGCACCTTCCCAGCGTCAGGCACAACTCCAGGGACCGGGATGTTCGGCGGTTTCCTTGGCGGGGAGACAGCTCCGGAGAGGCGAGAGGCCGGCTGGAGCAGAAGGAAGAGTTTGTGGGGGGCGAGGGAGGGAGATGAGAGGGGCGAGGGAGGGAGATGTGGGGGGCGAGGGAGGGAGATGAGGGACCAGCAGACTCTGAGGTGGACGTGAGGCTGAGGGGTGGGGCCTGCAGCCAGAGGCCAGTGTGTCCGCTGAGCAATGGGAGGGTGGCGGGAAGGGTCAGCCCAGGTGGCAAAGCACTGGCGTGATGGACACCTCGGGCGCGTCTGAGGGGGGAGTGACTCCATCTGGTCCAGAGTGACTCGGAGAGCCAAGGGTGTGCCGAGTGTCCAGGGAGAGAGCCAGGGCTTTGATTGGGTGGGGCAGTGGGGCAGGCTCAGGGCTGGGGGTTTGGAGGTGCGCCGAGGTGAGAGGGGCTTCCAGATGGGCGAGTGTTGGGGTCATTCACAGAGGTGGGAGGGGGGTTCCAGGTGGCCGTTGGATGGAGCTCCCGGAGAGGGCTGAGCTGAGGCTGTCGCTGTTGCAGTCATCTTTGGGTGGTATTTTGAAAGCTGGGTTTCCAAATGCAACAAAGCAGAGCAGCCCCAGCACAGCCCTGGGGCTTGCCGACGTCCACCTGGGGATGACCTGTGGGGGTAGCCGGCAAGGAACCTGGAGCAGCGGGCATGAGGCACCCACACGCGTGTGCACGCATCCCCGAGGGCCTGTGCCTGTGCCTGCACACACACGCGAGTGCACTCGTGCATACACTCCCGGCAGCTGGGCATCTACATCATCCCTGCTGGCCCCTGCTTGCGTCTGGGAGAGTATGCCCCCAGCCTCGCCCTCCGCGGGGGCTGCCCACTTCACTGCACAGAAGCTCCTAGCCGGGCTGGAGCTGGTCAGTGCTGCGTGTGTGTTGTGGGATCCCGGGGCGGGGATCCCAGGAGGGGAAGGGGACGGGGCTGCCCCAGGGAGCCTCTGGCTGTGCTGCTGGATCTCCTGGGCTGAGCAGCCCCTCCCCTTTAGCTCGCAGGGAGCAAGGCCTCCATCATCCTGGCCCCTGGCCGCGTGTTTTGGGGGCAGCACTGGCATCTTCTCTAGCTTCTCGTCCCTCCTGGAGCGGATCCCCTGCGTGAACGGACACTCCAGCGTGGGTGCCGGGCCTGCCCTGGGGGCCCCGCGAGGGCAGGACGGAGCTTTGGGGGCCTATCACCCCACAGGCTCTCTTCCGCCGCTGCTCTCCCGCTGGTGGCTGTGGAATGGCCCACGACCGCCCCAGGCGCTGGGTTTCCACAACTGGACCGGGTGATGTGGGCGCTACTGAGATGCTGTGTGAAAATTTGTGTCTGCAGACAGTGGGGTGGTGGCCGTGGGGAGGGAGTGCTGGCAGAGCCCAAGCGTGTTCCGCTGGGATTTCGTGCTGGCGTGATGGACACCTCGGGCGCGTCTGAGGGGGGAGTGACTCCATCTGGTCCAGAGTGACTCGGAGAGCCAAGGGTGTGCCGAGTGTCCAGGGAGAGAGCCAGGGCTTTGATTGGGTGGGGCAGTGGGGCAGTGGGGCAGGCTCAGGGCTGGGGGTTTGGAGGTGCGCCGAGGTGAGAGGGGCTTCCAGATGGGCGAGTGTTGGGGTCATTCACAGAGGTGGGAGGGGGGTTCCAGGTGGCCGTTGGATGGAGCTCCCGGAGAGGGCTGAGCTGAGGCTGTCGCTGTTGCAGTCATCTTTGGGTGGTATTTTGAAAGCTGGGTTTCCAAATGCAACAAAGCAGAGCAGCCCCAGCACAGCCCTGGGGCTTGCCGACGTCCACCTGGGGATGACCTGTGGGGGTAGCCGGCAAGGAACCTGGAGCAGCGGGCATGAGGCACCCACACGCGTGTGCACGCATCCCCGAGGGCCTGTGCCTGTGCCTGCACACACACGCGAGTGCACTCGTGCATACACTCCCGGCAGCTGGGCATCTACATCATCCCTGCTGGCCCCTGCTTGCGTCTGGGAGAGTATGCCCCCAGCCTCGCCCTCCGCGGGGGCTGCCCACTTCACTGCACAGAAGCTCCTAGCCGGGCTGGAGCTGGTCAGTGCTGCGTGTGTGTTGTGGGATCCCGGGGCGGGGATCCCAGGAGGGGAAGGGGACGGGGCTGCCCCAGGGAGCCTCTGGCTGTGCTGCTGGATCTCCTGGGCTGAGCAGCCCCTCCCCTTTAGCTCGCAGGGAGCAAGGCCTCCATCATCCTGGCCCCTGGCCGCGTGTTTTGGGGGCAGCACTGGCATCTTCTCTAGCTTCTCGTCCCTCCTGGAGCGGATCCCCTGCGTGAACGGACACTCCAGCGTGGGTGCCGGGCCTGCCCTGGGGGCCCCGCGAGGGCAGGACGGAGCTTTGGGGGCCTATCACCCCACAGGCTCTCTTCCGCCGCTGCTCTCCCGCTGGTGGCTGTGGAATGGCCCACGACCGCCCCAGGCGCTGGGTTTCCACAACTGGACCGGGTGATGTGGGCGCTACTGAGATGCTGTGTGAAAATTTGTGTCTGCAGACAGTGGGGTGGTGGCCGTGGGGAGGGAGTGCTGGCAGAGCCCAAGCGTGTTCCGCTGGGATTTCGTGTGGTGCTTTCCTCCATGCCCCAGCCATCCCAGCCCTGGGGGACCCGCTGATATTGGAGATGCAGAGGAGGGGGCCTTGCTCTGCTCATAGCACCTCTGGCCGCGCCCTCCACTGTCTGCATCAGCCCTGGGTGTGGGGTTCGGGCCCCTCGTGTTCCCAGTTTTTCAGGGGTGACCGGCACTGAGGGGTGCCTGCAGTAGGCAGGCCCTTTCTCTAGCAATTGTTGAGTTCCTGGCTGGGGGTAGCGCAGGGAAATGGCACCTCCAGGGGAGGACACCTCTTCCCCCAGCCAATGGTGCAGCCAAGCCTTCCGTGCCATCCTGCCTGGGCCTCAGGCTCCCTTCAGTGACGCTGCCGTGGGCTCCCCGGTGACGGCGTGCGCCCTGAGGGTGAGGGCCTCCTCCTGGGGCCCAGATGACAGGCTGCCCCGCCTGCTCTCCCCCTCCAGGAATTTGCAGGCCTCTGTGGGGCTCTTTTCATTGCGCTGGGGCTCTTGGGGGCGCTGCCTCTTGGCCTGTATGTGGACCGGACCAAGCATTTCACTGGAGCTGTCAGGATCGGCCTCTGCCTGACATCTCTGGTCTGCATGGCCTTTGCCCTGGTGAGAGTCCTCTGAGCCGAGACCACCTTGCACGAGTCAAAGTGGGGTGCCCCGGGGTGGGGGAGTTGCAGGTCGGCCGTTACGGACATCCAGACCCACTCCGACCCTGGGCACTGCCCCGCCTCCCCGGTGCAGGGCCTGGCTGGGTCTGGGCGTCTAGGGCTGTGGCATGTCTGACTCCTGCCGCATCCGTCTGTGCGGCTCACTGCCCCCAGGTGTCCCAGCTGGCCGCCACCTGCTCGCTGCTTGGGCTCTCTGCTTCTCAGCGGCGCCTGTCGCTGTGCAGCTGGCTGCTGAGTGCTTCTTTCCTGTGGGTGAGGGTGGGCCGCGGGCCTGGTCCTTGTGCTGGGGTGAGTGCCCACCCCCCAACGCTTCCCTGGGGACCCAGAGAGCCTCCCCTCACCCCACCCCAGGCCACACAGCAGGTGACCTGAGCGCCTGCCGTGTGCTGGCCTGGGCTGGCCGCAGGGCCCATGGTGACCAGAGCAGCGCCCTGCCCTCGGGATGACTACGGGTGCCGGAGCAGCAAGCAGTGCCCCGGGCAGGGCTGAGGGCCTTGTGGCTGTGCAGGCAGCCCGGGGGCGTGCTCAGCACGGCGCTGCTGGCCTCCCTGACCTGCGCCGCATGGAGCTATCCTTCCCCACCTGCCGGGACGGCCAGGACCCGCCGGCCTGAAGGGTGAGGGCCTCAGCCTGTGGGGCTCCGAGGGCACAGGCCAGCAGGTCGGCCCCCACCCAGCCCTGGAAACCTCCCCTCCGTGTGCCTCTTGGCGACTTCTGCTGCCCTTGGTGGGTGGGTGCAGGGCACCCAGGGTGGGGGTTGGGGGGGGTCGGGTGGGGTCAGAGGGCAACAGGCCGAACCTCAGGCTCAGCCTGGTGGGAGCAGCCCTGAGGCCCTTTCGAGAGCTCAACCTCTAACCCCTATATGACTGGTTTTGAAATGAGATCAAAGAGAGACAGGGAGAGCCAGAGAGTGAGAATGACAAAGATGGAGACAGAGAGTGTGAGAGACAGGAGTGGGGTCGCCACCAGAGAGATGGTTGCACGCCCTCGTCCCCAGACCCGGTGCGGTGACCTCGGGGCTCATGACTGTGAACCCACCTTTGGGGCCCCTTGGGGCTGGGACAGGATCTGTCCCCGGGGTCACTCTGAGGTCATGGTTAATGGGGTTTGGGGTCCCCTGCACCTGGGGGGGCACTCTGGCACTTGGAGAGCCTCGGCAGAGCTGGGCCACGGCCCCCCGGAGTCCACGTTGCTGGTGGCCGGCCTGTGCGTCTTTTTCAGCTGCCTTGGGGTGCTCTTCCTGCACACCCCATACCGGCGCCTGCAGGCCGAGGCCGATGCAGCCCCTCCGTCCAGGAAGACGTGCGCCCAGCAAGCTCGGCAGCCACCCCCGAGGCCCTGCCGCGGCCCCCCCACCCCCACCGGCCCCAGCAGCCCCTTCTGGAGCCGGTGATCCTGGCTCCACCTCCCTTCCCCTGGGAGTCCTCCGAGATGTCATGGGGCCCCTGCAGCGGACCAGAGGCCGGGGAGCAGTTGGTGTGATGAGAAGGGGACCTGGGGCCATGAAGGGGCGGCCAGCAGAGGCAGGCCCTGGTCCCCTCGGCTACACCAGTCACACCTGAGGCTGGGACGGTGCCAGCATCCGGGGGGCCCGGGGTCCTCGAACACAGGCAGGCTGGCCCAGGGGACTCCCTGTGGATGTAGCAAGGAGAGCTGCCGCTGTGTAAGCAAGAGGCGGCTGACCAGGCGGGGCGCTCCAGCAGCCAGGCCAACCAGGGTGGCTGGGGCAGGGGCTGCATATGGGCAGGCCGGCCTGGCCGGGGGGCACGGCTGAGGGGCACTGAGTGGGCTGGGGATTCTGAGGGCCCCAGCATGGCTGAGTCTGGAGTGGACAGGTGTGGGGAAGGCCTTCCTTGAAGGAGCCTATCCCAGAGCCATGCTCAACCTCTGCTGAGCCCTGAATGAGCAGCCCCCCAGCCAGGCGCTGGCACAGGTGGGGAGAGCAGGTGGGGCCAGGCTGGGCCAGAAGCAGAGGGTGGGCCCCACGCAGATGCTCCCCCCCCCGAAGACCCTTCTGCCCCCACGGACACTCCCACCCCCAGGGGGACACCTTCTCCCCGCCAAAGAGACACTCGCAGGCCGGTTTGTGGGTTTGTGTTTATTGAACTGGCCGTGGCCCAGTGGGGGAGGGGCGCCCTTCACTCCGCCTCCCCGTGGGTGAGCACGTAGCTCAGTGCCTTGTAGTCCAGGTTGCCTGCAGCGTCGATGGTGGAGAACTGGAACATCTGGTCAACCTGCGAGTTTGGTGGGGGTCCTGAGGCCCAGGCAGGGGTGGGAGGGAGTGGGGGGGACCCCGAGGCCGCAGCCAGCAGGTGAATTAATTACAGGAACTGGACTCCAGGCTCTGTCTTGTTTCTGTGCTTGGGGGGAAGGAAGTGGGGGGAGACCCTGCAGAGCAAGGGTTGGGGCCGGGGCGGGTGTCTCCCCTCCTGGACACCGGGCGTCCCACCCTCCCCAAGGCTGCAGCCTCTGGGGGCTGGGGCGCATCCCCCTCCTGAGACCCCAGAGCCCTGAGAGCCATGCTTGGGCTTCACAGAGGGCCTTGGGGATGGAGGTGGGGCGGGGTGAGGGGACAGACCTCCTCAGCAGTCATCTTGTCAGCCTGGGACATGAGCAGCCGCCTGATGCTGAGGACAGGAGGGAGGGGCCAAATTAGGCTGCTCTGGAGAAGGCATGGCCCTGACTGGAGGGGTGGCCACGGGGGAGCCCCGTGACAGGTCCACATGGGGGGACAGGGCTGCTCCGAGGTGGGTGTGCCCCCCCTTCAATCCCACCCGCTCACGGGGCAGGTGCCTCTTGGGAGCCTGGCTCCGGGTGAGTCCTGGGCACTGGGGTGGGGTGGGGGGGTGTCCAGAGGGAGCCTTCCCTGACCCCCACGGCCCTGGGGGCCAGTGCCTGGCTGATGTAGTCCCCAGGGGGGCTAAAGACCCAGCGACGGTCTGAATGGCAGTGACCACTGGCCCCGTGTGGGTAGGGCTGATCCGGCCCTCGGGTACCCTGAGGGCCTCAGGATCCCGGGCAGGCCAATCAGGACCTGAGAGCGAGGTGGGGGGGGTTGGCACCCCTCCTACCCTGGTGACACCCGGGCGCCTGCGGCCACACTCACTAGTCCTTGTTGATGCTGCCTTTGCCGTCGGAGTCCAGCATCTTGAACGCATTGAGGATGGTCTCCTCGGCATCCGTGCCTGCCCACAGGAGGCCTTGAGTCCTGGGTGACTTGGGGTCCACGCCCTTGCCCACTCAGTGCCCTGAATGGCCTTCCCACTCTGAGCACCTGAGAGACCCTCAGCTCCCATCCCAGGGGTACTGTTCTTGGGGTCCCTTGGGTCCCGCTAGGCCCAGAGCTGGGCGAGTTCTCAGTGAGGGACAGAGGCCCCCATCAGTGGGCAAAGAGTTGGCTCTGGGCTGTCAGCTCGCCCACCCTGGGGCCTGACAGGGCCCCACAGACGTGAGTCCCAGAATGCCAGGTCCTGGGGCTTTTCAAGAGATCTGCAAATTTGGGTTTTTATGTGAGATGTGTGGATCTCTAAGTGCTTGGAACCACGTAAGCGCACACACTGCGCTGGCAGACCTGCGGGCTGGCCCACACTCACCGCTCAGCTTCTCCCCAAACATGTTCAGGAACATGGTGAAGTTGATGGGCCCCGAGGCCTCCCTGAGCATGGCGTCCAGCTCCTCGTCCTTGACGTTGGTTTTGCCTGTTGCAGACGTCAGGGGTGGGGCGGGGGGCTCCAACTACAACATCTTAGAACTCAGGAGAAGGGCTCTGTCCCAGCCAACGGCAGGGGGGGGGGGGGGGGGTCACAGGGCAGGAGTGTCGCCCGCCCTGGCTGCCTTGTGGTCCGAACAGGTGCCCCATGGGGCCACCCCCCTCCATCATTCTCCAGGCAACCCCAGAACAAAGATGGGGCGACCGGAGAGAGGGAGGTGAGCCAGTGCAGGCACCCTTGGCCCAGGCATGGTGGATGGACACAGGTTCTGAGGGTCAGCGGAGCCCCAAACCCCAGCCCCGGGAGGTGGACTGAGTAGGGGAGAGGAGCCGGAAGGCTGTGATCTGTTACCTGGGTGTGAGGGGGCACCCCCCAGGTAGAAACCAGCCTGCCCCCGCCCAGCTCCAAGGGCAGGGCCGCCTCAGGCTGAGGACAGCCGGCCCCAGGTGGGGAGGGAGGCAGGGCCGCGGGCTGGGCAGTGCCGCCTGCAAAGGACGAGCCTGTGTCTCTTCGGAGGAGCACAGGTGGGTCTCTCTGTCCTGTCCCAGCTGCACTCCTGGGCCTCCTGACCGTGCCTGGGGTGGGAGTGCCAGCCTCCCCCGCGCAGGGGATTCCTGGGCCTCCTGACCGTGCCTGGGGTGGGTGCCAGCCTCCCCCGCACAGGGGCATCAGCGCCTTCCTCGAGCTCTTTACCGAGTCTCCCGCTCTGGGACGCCCATGCTTGGGTTGTGCCACCCACCCGTGATGCCCTCCGCCAGCCCTGATCAAACTAGAGGGGAATTTCTCCCCAGGAGAGGCCCACCTCCCCCTCAGAGCCCACGGGAAGTCAGGTCAGGCTTTAAGGCCCAGGAGCAGAGCGAGGCTCTCTGGGACTGGAGGACACTCCTGGGAGCCGGAGGGCGGGGGAGTCGGGGTGCTGCGCTGGAGTTCTGCCCCCGGGGCACATACCCAGGGAGGCGTAGGTGTCCTTCAGGTCCTCCTTGTCAATGAAGCCATCTCGGTTCTGGTCCATGAGTGTGAACGCCTGGAACCGAGGCCAGGTTCACTGGGCTGCGCCCCCTTTCCTGGCTCTGGATCGAGGGTCTTGTCACCTGCATTACACTTCCCAGGGGACCCCTCAGGCATGAGCTTCTGCGTGGAGGGGTTCCCGGTGCAAGAGCAGGGCCTCACCTCCTTGAACTCCTGGATCTGGGTCTGCTCAAAGTGGGAGAAGACGTTGGACGACGCCCTCGGGGCCCGCAGGGCGCCCCCCTCCTTCCTCTTGGCCTTCCTGCTGGCCTGAGATGAGGACACCAAGGCTCAGGGGCCCCCAGCCTGCCCGAGGGTCTCCTGGGGGCAGCCAGGCGTTTGGGGAGACTTAGCGCAGAGGACGGGCGCACCGTGGCATTTTGGGCTCCAGGGAGCCCCAAGCCCGTGTCCCTGGGCTGGGGCAGCTGCAGGTGCTTGGCATGGTCAGAGGGACCCGTGGGGGGCCCCTGACAGAGCACAGCACCCAGGGTTCACCCTGAACTATGCCCTGCTCAGCCTGCAGTCCAGCCAGGAGGACCAGGGAGCAAATGAACCGTGCCGGCGGCCAGAAAGTGGAAGGGCTTGTTCTGGGGATCCCACTAGGGTGAAGGCCAGGACCCCCACCTTCCAGCCCCAGGCTGTCACCAGGGCTTTCATAGGGCACAGATCTCCCCCAAACCCCAGCACACACAGACCCTCACACATGTGCACAAACTCAACTCGTGTGCACATGTAATCAGGCAAAACACACTCATGCATGTGACACATGCACACATACCCACCCACATGGTCCCCCACGCACATCAGGTACAGACACACTCGTGTGTGTACACGCAGCACACTCACCATGCCTGGGTCTGCCTGATGCAATGGTCTGTGCCCTCCTTGCTGAGGTCGTCCGTCTTAAGCTCTTACCCAGTCCCCCAGGACAGCTCACACTCGGGCTGCCACTCCCTACAAGGACAGGCTCAGGGCTACCCGGGGGACTGGACAACTGCAGAGCGAGCTTTGGCAGCCAGCAGTGAGTCAGACGCCCCCATCCTGCTGGCCCAATAGGCCCCCAGCCTTCAGGCACCTCCCCACCTGCCCCCTACCCTGGAGTCTGTGTTCTGGATTCTGTGCATCTCTGGGGTGACCTGCGCATGGGTCAAGGGCCTGAGGACTGCAGGAGCCAGAGGAAGACGCACCGTTCCCAGACTTGCACACAGTTACTGTGAATGACCCTGGTGGCCAGTCAGCAAGCGCTCCCCGAGTATGTCTGTCTGCCGTTGCCTCCTCGCCTTGGTGGCAGAGACGTCCCAGGCCCTGACCCCAGCCCTGGGGCCAGCCCTCCTGTCCCCACAGCAGGGAGCTCCTTGCCTGGCCCTCAGAGGGGGATGACATTTCTGGGATGGAGGATGGCCCATGTGGGCTGGGCTGGGCCCAGCACTCAGCCAGATCTTCCTGCTACAGCATGGCCCCAGGGGCAGAATCTGGGGAGGGGACCTGGCCCAGGTGCCTGTTGGTGGTGCCAGATGTTGGAGGCCACCGCAAAGTCACGGAGAAGATGCCCTGGTCCTTGGTGGTGGGGAAGTGCAGAGTTAGTGGCAGTAAGGGGTGGGGGGGGTGGGTCTGCAGGCCGAACAGGAGGAGGAGGCCAGTGGGTGGATGAAGTGGGCAGATGGGATTCCATGGTGGTTTCATACCTGGAGAGCAAGTTTTCTGAGCCTCCGGGGCCAGGTCTGGGTGGAGTTGCAATCACTGGGTGGGGGTCCTCAGGGGCACATCTCCGAGCCACACAGCACCTGCTGCGGCTGGAAGGCGAGGGGCACACACCCTCCGTCACGTGGTGCTGCTGAGGTGCTGCCATCCGTGATCCCAGGGCCAGCTCACCATTTGAGGAATCTGGCTGGGGATGCATGACCCGCCTGGAGGGACCTGGGGGCTCCTGGGGGCTCTGTCTGGAGGACCCCTGGAGGGCTAACGTGTGACCGATGTGGGACACCTGCGCCTGGGCTGCACGGGGACCCCATCACTCCCAGCCAGGCGGGTCTGGGTGCGACGCCGGGACAGACCTTGGCCGGGCTGCGGGAGTGGGGAACAGCACACTGAGAGAGGGGTAGGCCCATGGGGTCTGTGCTCAGGAGGCCCAGGCTCAGGGAGGGCCGGAGGAGGCTAGCTGAGCCCCTGGGGAGGTGTCCTGCGGCCAGCCTCGATCTGAGCACAGCTCTAAAGATAGCCGCAGAGCCTGGCTCCTGGGAGAATATCGGGACTCAGCACGGACAGCTGCCCTGACAGGTGCAGGGGTGTCAGCAGGCGGCCCCTGCGTCCTGAGCCAGGTTGGATAGCACCCCACCGACCCCACCCCACAGTCCCCAGGAAGGACTCCGGGCCAATGTGGGTCTCCCCGGCTTCAGGGGTCTTCCCTGGGCGGTTTCCGTAAGCGTGTGTTCCTGGGCCTGTGCGTGCCCTCCGCTGGCCGCCACTCCCCCGGGCACCGTGGAAGCTACTGGTATGTGGTCCCCCCACCAGCACTCTGGCCCCACCTTCAGTCCCAGAGAAATTTATTTTTGATTCTGGAAAAAGGAGTTGCTGAGGAATCTGGTTTATTTTAAAATCCAGGGAAGGGAAAACACATTTGCCTCCCGGGGTCACATTGGCCCGCGGCTGCTCCAGGGCAAGATGGAGGTGGAGGGGGGGTGCTCAGCATTGACACAGCATGTGGGCGGTGGAGGAGGGGTTACTTTGTGCCTTGTGGAGTCAATGTGTGCCTACAGCTGCCTTGGGGAGGAATGAGTGGGGAGGGGGCGGGTCAAGAGGCCCTCCCCGCACCCCAGGCCCCGCAGAGGCCACAGAGGACGGGTGTCAGGCAGGAGTCCTCAGAGGGTTCAGAAAAGAGCCCAGCTGCCCTGTAGGATCCGCCTTGGCGTTCCCACTCCCAGCCCAGGAAACCGCACAGGTGATTTACTAGCTTCCCAGTGGAAGGCGCAGAGCCAGGACTCCCCAGCAAATGGAGACAGAGCAGGGTCTGCTCAGGCCCCTGGTGGCTGCCGAGGGGTTTCCCCTTGGTGCAGATTTACTGAGCACATTCTGTGTGCCCTGGAATTTTTGTCCCTGCATTCTATTCTCTTTAGAATCGGAAATGATCTCCCCTAGCAGTGGAGCAGGGATGCTTGTGAGCCCCCAGCCCTGGTTCTCCGGGATTTTATGCCTGGAGCAGCACAGGGCCCAAGGCATGGGTGGTCCTCCCACCAGACCCCCAAGCCCCGTTGCTATGGGAACTGTGTGTCAGCACAGCAGGCTCAGTTGGGAGGCTGTCCGGCCACCACTGCCCATCTCTGGGCAGCCTCTTTGCACACCTGGGCTTGGTCAGCTGTGTCTTCACTGGGGCTGACCACAGATCTGGGGGAGACAGTCTTCTCCTCTGAGGGGGCCAGAGTACCCCACCAGTGCAACCCCTGCCTCCCCAACAGAGGGCAGCAGAAGTGAGCGAGGACCTGTCTGATGTGAACCTTGAAGCTTGGGGCTGCATGATCCTGAGGGCCGGAGTCGGGGAGACCCAGGGAGCAGGCTCTGCTAGGGTGGCCTTCTCAGGAAGACCTGAGCCTCCTTCTGCTGGAGAGGCTCCTAGGGTGAGGAAACTCTAGCTCTGCTGGGGGGCTGGGTCTGGGACCGGGGGTGGGGGTGGCAGGAGGGGGCACCCCAGGCAGTGTGGTCCCGGGAAGCGACTCGGAGGCCACATGGTCGGCCTGGCCTGTCTGTGAGCCCAGAGGGGCCGGCCACGGCCACCCTCTCTGCTGGCAGCCGGCCTGCACTCAGGTTACATTTTGTACCCGGACGCCAGATTCCCTGCCCAGAGCCTCGAGCCCCTTCCTGGGCTGTCCTCTGGGCTGGCCTGGGGCTGCTGCGGGCCTGGACAAGCCTCAGCATGGCTGGGGCCGCACTGCAGCAGTGGGCGGGGCGGGACAGCCCAGGGAGGGAGGATAGCGAGAACTCTATTTCGCAATTTGTAATGTGGACTTATACTCTTCAAATAGTTGTACCTGTGGTGTGCGGGCCTCGATGTGTGCTCAACCTGGTCCGAAAACGTCAGTGCCTGGAGGGGTCGCACCCGCTCTGGGGAACCAGCACGTGCCGCCTGGGCCACTGCGCATGCGGAGCCAGTCGCGAGCCGCGCGCCCGGTGACGTCACCCCTCCGCGAACGGGTGCGCGCGCCGTTCTCCCTCCGGCCGCCAGGGGGCGGCTCCGGCGCCTTCTCGCTGCTGACGGCGCATGCGCCCACCCGGGTGAGCCTCTGCGTCTCCAATGTTTTCCGGGCCCTTGGAGCGTCCTCCTCGGTCCGCGTTGTGCTTCCGGCGCGAAGGTCACGGGCAAGATGGTTCCGCCAGTGCAGGTCTCTCCGCTCATCAAGGTGAACCAGGTTTCGCGGCCGCGGCCGGGTGCTCGGCTCCGCGTAGGCCCGCGCGTGAGCGACTCCGCGGAGCTCGAGACCTCCGGCCCGGCCTCCGCTCGGCGGGACAACCACCCCTCTCTCACCCCGCCCCCGCGCCCCGACCCGGAGGCTGCGATTTCCCCCCGCCCCTCGCATCGGCCCCAGACGCCGCGGGTGCGAGCCCCCCCTTCCCCGCACGCGTCCCCCGCGCCCGGGACCCCCCGCGGGCTGAGAAAGCCCCCGGACCCCGGTTCCGCTCCGCCGGTTCTGACCGCCCTTTCCCCGCAGCTCGGCCGTTACTCCGCCTTGTTCCTCGGGGTGGTTTACGGAGCCAAGCGCTACGGTGAGTGACCACGGGCGGATACAGCCGTCCCAGCCCATGGGGCGCTCACGGGGCTTCTCGAAGACGGTGCGGGGTCCCGGGTGCCGGGCAGGAGAGGGGGCAGGGCGGGAGGCGCCAGACCCAGAAACCCGAGCGGGCTGGACCCTTGAGCGCCGCCGCGGCAGGCGTGTAGTTTGGTCGGGCAGCCCCTTGCTGCACAGAGACCTGAGTGAGGGGCGGCAAGACGCCCGGGGTGGCAGCGGGGACCCTGTAGCTGCCCTCCGGGTGGGGCTCTGTGTTGAGCAGTGAGTGTCAGGCCTTTATGCATATCTAGGTAAAGCAGGTACCTCTGGCGTTCACGGTGCACTTGAAGATGACTTTGCTTGGGGGCTGAATTTCTTTTACTCAGTGCGTCGGTGAAGAGTTCACTGATACCATCCCTCCCCTTCCCTTTCCTTTCGCAGATTACCTGAGACCCCGGGCAGAGGAAGAGAGGAGGATAGCAGCTGAGGGGAAGAAAAAGCAGGGTGAGCAGAGGCGCGTCGAGAGAGAACTGGCAGAAGGTACTCGTGTTGCCGAACCTCATGGATTTGTTCTCCACCCGCGTCTCCAGAAACAGCTGCTGGTCCAGATGAGCCCCACAGTGGAGGGGAAGGGCCGCCTCTGGCCCCTGCTGGCCCCTGGGTCCTCTTCTGGGGGAGTGGGAGGGAGAGCAGGTGTGGGTGTTGGGGGTGCATGGTGCTAACTCCCTTTAGTGAGGCCTTGGGCATGAACTGTCGGCCACCCTCAGCGAGGCCCCAGGACCAGAAGCAGGCTCACCTCTTCCTTCCTGCGGCAGCAGCTTGCAATCAGGACGGGCAGGGGTAAGGAAGGCCCAGGATGGGAGTGGCAGCAGACCATAGCCAGGCCCACCACGGAGTGAGATACTGGGTGGTTTTTTTAACACCAAACGTCGAAAGTGGGCCCTTTGGATGGCCCGAGTGTGTAATGGCGCATCTGTTTTCCTTCCAATTTTTCAGCCCAAGAGGACAGCATATTAAAGTGAGCCCGCCTTTCCCCGGAGCAGTGTGGATGAATAAAGCCTCTCCTGTACTGTGTGATTCTCTGACTTCCCTTTACTGTCCCCGGTTGTTTGGTTTCTGGACTCAGACTCAGCAGTTGTGTTCTTATCTTCTCAGGTTATGTGGGGTGTGGGTGGGGAGGGATTCCAGAAGAACCAGTCAGTGACCAGTGCATAAACCGGGCGGGATGCACGGAACCTCCATCACCTGCTCCGGGGTATCTGTGGCGGAGGCCAAAGGATGCAGTCTGTAGCGGAGACACAGCTGGCCAGGCGTTGTGAGCACTGCTCGGTCTTCTGTGCTCCGAGCCTGGCCCAGACCCTTGGATGGGCAGGCTTTGCAGATGGTGGGGGTGGAGATGGCCTGATGCCTTTACAGTTGAGACCTGGATCTCCATCGCCCTCCTGCACGTTCTCCCCTTGACCCCAGGGAGGGGATGTGGCCTCCTGAGGACCAGGCTGGGGTGCAGCTACGTGTTCAGGGGGCTTAGGCCTTTGTGCCTGAGCAGACGGCAGACTCCACCCCTGGTGGCTGTGGCCTTTCATCCCCAGGCCTGGTGTCAGAAGTCGCTATTCCCAGTTTTGTGCCAGGAGCAGATTGCTTAGGCTTAGAGCCCCAGTTTATTTGTCAAATGAGTTCATCTGTAAACGTGAGGAGAAAGTGAGAAGGGGCGTACAGCCCTGTTTTCAGTTAAGGTGAGGCTGGAGTGCATGATGGTGCACACCTCCTGGGGTATCCTGAGGTTGGTGGGTAGCTGGCACTGGGTCCCCCTGGGAACCTGGAGGAGCCCCCAGTCGCAGGCCCTTGTCACCACCGGGTGCCACTGTGAGCTGAAGGTTTTGTGGGGCGTGTCCATCCCCCCCCCCCCCCCCCCCCCCCGCGGGGGCGGGGCCCCCCACCCCCCACCCCCGCCGGGAGTGCTGGCAGAGGGCAGCATCTTGAACTGGCCTTAAAACAATTCATTTGGCCTTGCAGTTCTGGCCAAGGCTGCAGCCAAGAAGAGTTTCCAGTATCTGGAAACATTTGCTTTGGAGCTAACGTTATGAGCTAAAAGTCCTTAATTTCTGTCAGGTAATTTAGTACCCATTTCAAGCGTGAGTCTTGCGTTGTCCCATTTGGGTCTGACTCGCTTTTCTTCCCGGCCCAGAACCGTTAATTAGGTCCTTGGAGGCATGTGGTTGCTCCCATGAAGGAAACCTCAGTGGTGCAGGAGGACTGGGGCAGACCACAGGCGCTGGTCCGTCAGCGCGGTTCAGAGCAGCTCCCGGGCAGCGTTTATTACAGATTATTTTTGCACAGATCACTCACGTCTGATCACTGCTGTTCTCACAGCCTGGACCTTTCTGGCAGGATTTTGCGGTTGGTCACAAATGAATGTCCTCCGCCAAATAAAAAAAGGGCAGTGTGTTTTCTTTTGATTTTATTCTAAATTTTTGTGCATATATTTTTTCCTAAACCAGATGGGAATTGGCATCTACGTATCCATTTCTCCACCCATATATACATAGATACATGTGCAGTGTGAATATATTCACCCAGTGCTTTTAGACACAGAGTTTACAGACCCTTTTTGAAGATCTTGGGGGCATTACTGTGCCTCCAAAATATGGATGAGTGTAAGGTAGGCTATACTGTTCAGATCGTTCATAGTTGGCTTTGGTTCGTAAACACACAAACCTTAAATTGAAAATATCCAAAATGGTCTTCAGTTATTTTCTCAGGCTTCTTAACCTCTTGTACCAGTGGTTAGAGTCACAGCCCCAGTGGGGTGAGGGGGCAGGGGGCCTGCTGACCGGCTCACAGGATGCAGCAGGTGGAAGACTGGGGTGCCAGGCCGCCGTTGCAAACTTCTGTGCCTGCTGCAAGAGAAGACAGGATGGTGAGCATTGAGTGAGAAACGGGCGTGCCAAGCTCCTCCCCTCCACACACCCTGCAGGAGGAAGGGCAGAGGGCTGGTTGGCCTAAGCCGATTAGCCCAGCAGTTACTAGTTTCGCCCTTGGTGACACTCCAGCCTGGGCCTCTCTGAAGCTGGCTTGTTTCTATTGGTTCCCTCCCCTGCGGGACGTTTCAGGGAATGGCGACAAAAGTTCCAGAGCGCAAGCAAAAACCAAGGCAACAGCTCACAGGTTCTGATTTGGGGGGCGTGCTGAGTGGTTACAATAGAGCCACGTTCCCACAGTGCAGGGTGAAGGTGAACAACTGGTCTGCACGCAGCGCAGGGAAAGACACCACGCACATTGACTCCTAGCTCGCTTTCTGTTGCTTTCTATGGGTCTGCTGTTTATCTCTGAGGCTGGCGTGGGAGCGTAGGTAGAGTTTCTGAGCTCCTTAAGACGGCACTGCTGATTGATTATGGAACAGAGGAGCTGTTAAAGAGTTCACGATATTTCAGCGGGGCTTTCCTCCCTTTTAGAGAGGAAGTAACACTCAGTTGCTTCCCTCCTGAGTCCCCGGCTAGGACCCCGAGCGCGCCCCCCGTGCTCGCCAGCTACACCGAATCAGCAGGGCTGTTCCTGTGGGATGGGCCTCCCCACGTGGCCGCCTGTGCCCTGTGCAGCCAGGAGCCCTGGTGCACCGACTGCAGGGCCTCCTGAAGGCTGGCTTTTCTCCGGGCTGAACTCTGTTGCCTCGTGCCTGCCCCCGCAGGCCGAGGCCCGGCTGCGTGGTCTTGGCTGCGGCACGTGTGGAGCGCAGACCTTTTCTGGCCGCCGTCCTCTCCGCCTCCTTCCTCTGCTCCTCCTCCAGGGCCTTCACCTTCACCTCGTACTCGTCGGCCAGGGTCTTCCACTCCTTCCTGTTGTTCTGCAGCCGGTCGAACATGGGCAGGATCTCCTCGTGGAAGCGGGAGAACTCCTGGAAAGGGAACCGAGAAGTCGGACCACACCCCCAGCGGCTCCAGGGCAGGCTGGGCTGGGCAGGCTGGGCTGGGCTGGGCTGGGCTGGGCGGGGCTGGGGCG